TTGTGCGGTGACTGCCGACAACAGGGTCTGCCAGCGCACCCCGTAAATATTGGCATTTGTTATAAGGCACAGATAGGACCTGCCAGAATCCGATATGATTTGGCCCCCGTGTTGGTCAAGCGCATCTATCACGTAGCCCGTTTGGGGAGCCAACACACACATACACAGGGACGGTGACTTGCGCGGAGGTTTATGGTGTCAGTTGACTTGCGCTGCATCTAGCACACCCTCTCCTCCGCTCCCATCTGAATCGAGTGTCAAGACAAAGCAAAGAAGAGCGGAAACTGAGGAGGGTGCAGGTGGATGGCACAGCCGAACCCGAACCTTGGCGTTCCACTCCACGTCCTCTGGTCCAAACAGCAAATGACCAGGACTTGAACCATCAACAAAAGTGAGGAGGGGCGGGGCTCCCAATGTGCGCGATCCCTGCTGGCAACTGGGTCTGTTGTCATTTGTTACGCCGCGCAATCCGATATGATCTTCGTTTTGGTCCAACGCATCTACCACGTGGCCATTTGAGTAGCGCTAAAATGAAGCAGTCATACGCGCACATATAACTACTCACCTAACTTACATAGGCTCATACTACTTACAATGAGTGGGTAGTCTTCCATGTTTGCCATTTTTTAATGGCAGGTAGCTGCCTGCTTTTGCATGCAATTATGTAAACAATCGTTCTCTCAGCTTTCCAAGTATCAGGCTTTTTCTTAGACACTTTTTAGTTAAAAGGCAAATCCAAGGCGTTCACCAATCTTCCCCTTAATAAAACTAAACTCAGTTGAAGAGCATCGGTCAGTAAACAGCTCAATCGCAGGAGAGCTGGGTAGTGACATTTCGGTGTACTTCTAACCACGCCGGTGTCATCACTTGGCAGAATCCTTGACTTTCAAAAGAGGTAATGTGTACGGTTAAAATAAGTAAATTGCAAGAAGATGTGAAATACTCATTTTAGTCAAATTAGATCGTACATAGGCCGACGAACGTTCTAGTCGCACATATGAATAGCTTCGCCAAATCACGGTCATGAACGTATGAGGCACCATCGTCGACGAGATTGATCTTCGGGCGTAGGAGAATGCGGTCTCGTTCAGCTAAATATCAACGAAAACAATGTTTATTTACTGAACACGCGAATCCACTCCGCTACCTGAAGGGCTGAATTGCAATCTCATGTGCAAAATAGTTCTCAGTGACTAAAGTAATCAGCAGTTGTCAAAAGCACAATATTGTCACAATTAATAACACCATGTGAGAAATCTTCTTGGATGCGAATGACAAAAACGAAAGACATAATAATGGTTTAAGGATGTTCAGCGAATATTCCCATGTTGCAATTGAAAAGTCAAATTGGCGAACACGTGTTTTCAGTAGCTCTTCATCAGGCCCAAAACGGTTACAATGAAGTTTAATTTATGCGAATTACATGACTTATAAATGATTCGGATGTCTTGACTGGGTCTTTGGTCTTTATTAGTCTCCCAACTAGATAAACTGGGCAGAACAGCACTATCGACAAAGACAAGGGAGGCTGGGATGGCCATTTCCGGTTTAATGGCCGTCATCAGCCAGTCATACCCAACACGAAGTGTGGAACACCTGAGGCTTGAACTTGCGACCTGTAAGATAGAAGTCAATGCCCATAACCTCTGGACCACGGGCCCGTTGTCCTGTCGGTTTCGATCGGGAATATACAGTGGTAGGGGACATTCACCGATTGTTTCCACGGAACTCACTCGTTCCGTTTTACCTTACGGGATCTCTCTCGAGCTCAACCAGCAGTCGCACAGCGGCGCATGATATAGGCAGAATAGCATTACCGACAAAGATAAGGGAGACTGGAATGGCCATTTCTAGCTTATTAGTCGCCGGCCCAGTGGTTAGAGGCGTTGGTCGTCTAGCAGATCGCAATTTCGAGCCCCAGGTGTTCCACACTTCAAGGTTGGGTATGCCTGGCTGACGACGACTAATAGTAGAAGCGAAGAGACGCGATCGCTGGGACCAGAGCTTTATTAGCCTGACGTTTTAGATTCCTGCCGGAAATCATCATCAGGGACAACAGCAGATACGACAGCAGACCCGTATTTGCTGTTGTCACTGATGATGGGTCTGAGCAGGAATCTGAAACGTCAGGCTACTAAAGCTCTTGTTCCAGCGATTGCATTTACTTCTCCAAAACGGCTAATAAGCCAGAAATGGCCATTCCGGTCTATCTTGTCTTTGTCGGTAATAGCATTCAGCCTATATCATACGCCACTGCGCGACTGCTGGTTGAGTTCTAGAGAGAACCCGTAAGGCAAAACGGGACGAGTGAGTTCCGTGAAAACGATCGGTGAACGTCCCCTATCATGGGTCAAATGTGCTAAACACTAGGTCGTGCATTGCGCTCGTAGATGCGGTGTTGTAGCTTTCTCGGTCACTGCGCCCAACTCCGGTGCCAGATGATTTACCGAATGGGGCAATAATCTGGTACATGACCGAGGAAGGAGCGAGATAATCCAGGTCTGTCGAATTCACATCCATCGCACATCAACGCATACCTCATCATAACACAGCGCGGTAAGAGTTCTGACTTGGAAGGCTACCCTCCGACGGGACACGTCTGTCCTTGCGCAGATGTGTGAACGTGACGCTGGACTAGAGAGTTTAGAGTCGGGTTCAGTTACGCCTTCTTAAAGTTACTCCAACGGATGCCTCACAAATGTTAAACTCGAGCTGCTGGCTTTGTCCTGTGAAAACATGGCTCACTGTGCGGGGATCAGTCCGTGTGTGGATCGCGTAGACGGGCTTTTAACTTTGTCGGACACTGTGTCCTAGTCCATACCCTGGTCGTTTTGATTCTCCCTATCCCCTATGCCAAGTGGAAGTGGGATGAAAGAGTGTACAGATGCCACGCAAGTCTGTTACCACTGTGAACTAATTTGTGCGCAAGTCACCCCCCCCCCCCTGCGTCCACCGCGCCCTGGATCACGTTGCGGACATCATTGCACACAACGGTTGAATTATCAACTTTTATCACTCTGTACTTCTAATTTTCAAAAAGGAAATGCTTCCCCTGAATCACGGTTTCCGACGAGACCTCACAGCTCAGGTGGTTAGCCTATTGACTGTACTCGGACCCTGCCCTTGCCGTTGTGGGTTTTAACTCCACCGAGGCCGTCCAACTTTTCCAAATTGGGTCATAGGAGTTATTCAAATCTTCCAAAAGCGCCAATTTCAAGTGAGTAAATTGTGGCTTCTAAAATTTATTCTGGTGGTGGTTGTTATTATTCTATTCCTGTTGATTCTCCTTTATAGAGACATTTTACAACGGTCAAACACTTTGCCAGTTGACTTATTGAAGTCGCTGCTCGACCTGTTTTAACACTCTAATGATTAGAAAGTCATCTCGTCTAACTTGGCGTTACGTTCTAATGTATATTGGGGCGGACGCATTATCCACAACCAGTCATAACATTTTCAAGTTTTTTTCCCACAGAAATGTCCCCACCACCGCTTGTTGTGGGCGCACGGGCTGAAATTTAATAAGCACTCATAGAAGAGTCTTGATAACCCTCCGAGCTAAAAGCTTACCGCGGCAAACTGTCAAGATTTAATCAACAGAGTACATAACATTCTCAGTGCCCATAGACTAACCTGAGGGCTTTCGAGCGAGATTAGACGAAGACTCGAGAGACACCAGTAGTCTCGGCCCTCGAGGGCTTTGCAGAGAGACGCGCATTGCACAGAAGCTACGCTCATTATAACCACGTGTGTATTACCTATCCATAGTATATAACACGACAGGTGCTTTTGCTAGGTCCCAGCTCTTCCGCTGAGGATTCCATCACTTATATATTTCTAAATCACACTATGTACCTGCGAAGGGCATTGATTGGACACCGGACAAACAGTCAGGCGAGCTTGTGGCGGCCATCCATCATGACCGGTCTGGCGTCATCGCTTATGACCTCGCTGTCTCATTCACCCTTTTGCAGTGAGCCGTTCCAGACGCGCTGACCTGAAGTCATACGACCAAAAGCTCGGGCCTACCAGCGTCCGCACAGCCGCTGCTGCCTATTCGGCCACTTGAACGCATCCCACCCCCTGCGAGCACAACCTAAGCCACTGGGACACCACCCCTCGGCAAATGCAACACACACCGATTGGTGACCACTTGAGCTTGGCCCACGAGCCTACAAAAGCGGCTGCCACCACTATCTCAGGGACTCTCAGACATGACTGGACGCAGTCAACACCAGCCCTGGCTTCGCCAGTGGCCACTGCCGCCTGAGACGACAACTCCGGATTCTGTGTGCAATAAACCCCTCAAACTGGTGCCTACCGTCTCCTTTCCGCACTAGGATTTGTCCTGATAATGGTAACGCTCATACCACACTTACACCGCATAACCACCTGTGTTTTAAGGCGACCTTTAATCGTTTTCTCTTATCACTGACATGTTTTCACTTCTACTCCGTCCCCATATCATTGTACTGGCCTGAGAAGAATCTATCCGGAGTAACGTCTGCTCGCCACTTTGTCTTCTGAATACTTACCTAGTTGGCAAAAAGTGAATTATTAGCAGGCTAGCTAAAACTTCGCGCTAGACAAACAAAGCGCTTATGCAAGTCTAACAGTAGTTGCCTGGTGTGCAGGTTGTGATTTTATCGAACGTCACAGACGTGTGGCGATAAGAAGACCCGACAAGGTGTTTTCTGAGCTTCTGTAGTTGCGTAACGCAACTGCTTTTTTCACCTTATGAATTGCACCTTTCAGTAGGTAGGGTAGTAGCACTTGCACTCCCAACAACCAATAGCAGACGGTGGATTTCAGTTGCAGTCAGTGTGAGAGCCAATCCACTAATTCCCCTAGTCCTTACCTCGGAACGCAGATAAGGCATGTACCATCGCCTTGCCCAAGAGGTTATAAAATTATGATAAATTTTGTTAGACAATTATTCAATTTAGGTTGAACAACAACACATGAACATGTATAAAGTGCAAACAGGGGAGAAAATGTCAATGCTTCTCATTCTCCTACTTACAGCAGTATGTGCATTTGAAGAAGACGATGGTAAGCGTGAATTTTAAGGATTAATGTACTGATAAAAGCGAAGATGCGCGTTCTAAGAAATAGTTAATAAGAAGAAGAAGCGATCACTGGTACAAGGGCTTTATTTGCCTGACGTTTCGGGTTCAAGTGAGAATCCGAAACTTCAGGCGAATAAAGCCCTTGCTCCAGTGATCGCTTCTACTTCTTATCGATTAATGTACTCCCGTCTTTTTCTTCATATTGAAATGCATCGCGCTTTAGTGCGCGCATGTGAACCATATCTTGATGCAAAATAAAACCTTCAGGATGAGTTATTTTGTTCGTTGCATTGCAAATTGCCTTTTAAATCACTGCGGACGTTGTTGGGCGTTACGCACTGGCAGATTCCGTTTGGTGTCAGTTGTCAATTAGTCAATATTCGAGAACCTAAAATGATGCATATATTGGTGTAGAATTGAAGGTCATAAGTCCTTTGGGCAGTGTAACAAACTTTACTCTGAAGATTTCCCACACCGGTTCCCCATGTCGTCACCAGACATGGGGAAAATGATCTAAATAGTCAAAATTTTCAAACTGCCTTAAAATCGGTATTGCCCTTCCATTCCGCCCATTAAGCTGTGACTTCTGTTTGAAATTTCGTGAGAGTTGGATGTCGCCTCTTCTACCACTAAGATCGTTACACATGACATCCGGCTCAGTGTGCGGTAAAGACATGATTCTTTAGAATATGCGGCCTTCAAAGGCTCTCGACATCCCTTAGATAGACAGACACCAACAACATGAGTTTTATTACATGAAACTTCACGGCCAGTTCCCAGTGCAAGCATAGCAACTTGGAGGAGGTAGTCTTTCCTCTTCACAGACATTTGATGTTTGCGTATACGCATTGAGGCCGACTTTCCAGTTTGACGGCAATACACCTCACTGCAGGTGCCACATGCAATCTTTTAGACGACCTTCTTTGTATATGAACACCTTACCCTACACTTATGGTGTGCAAGCTTGTTACGTAATTTGGCCGTCGGTCACGCATTTGAAGTGTTTGCTTGTGGTAATAAGCTTATCATATACCTCCCAGATCACTTACTCAAGTCCTCTTATTTTAGGTGATTCAAGAGAAATGTGTTATATGCGGTTCCAAATCGGGGATTGCGAAGACTTTGACGAGAGATATGGATACGATCCTCTGGTGGGCAAATGCAGGCCATTTATATACAGTGGTTGTGGAGGAAATGCAAACAATTATCTGACGAAAGTAGAATGTGAAAATGCATCCCAGATATGTAAACGTAACGGTACGAAAGTACTTCCCGTCTTACTCATGTTGGCCACTTTGCAAATTTACGGAAAGACCCAAGAGCCTTAACTTAATGTTTCATCAAACTGCGCAGCCCCTTGATGCCACTCTACCGTCCCGGTCATATTTAACCCAACTTGGACTGTTTGAGGCTTTTGAGTTGAGCTGCCGTAGATGTGCTAACTCATGAGATGTTGGCCGAAATTCTTTCGATTCGTAAAGATTACTGAAGTAGTGTTGTAAAATTAATCATTATATGGCATAATTCTATAACAATTCAGTTACTGCGGGGATACCGGCTTTTAAAGGAACATCGTTTCGGCCGCAGGCAAAACGACACTCTGGAAAAAGTGACTACTTAGTTGGCATGCATTTTTCCATTGATTTTCGATGCCATTAAAAATTTAACTATATTTCATGGAAAAAAGTCCTATAAATGTTAACTCATTTGCTTATTCGGCAGACAATTATGTCTTTTTTCAAGTTTACACTCGAAGAAAGTGTATAATATGATTTTTAAAAACTGTTTTAACTCCCGAAAAATTTTAAACCCGACCTGCCGCTGAACTTCTATTTAAGGCTTCTAAACTTCAAGTCACATATTTGAGGCGTACGGAAAACCGTAACTTTCCCTACGGCATTAAGAGAGGACCATATGGGGTTCTTAAAATTAAGCACTGGATTTCAGCCATATTGTAAACCAGGTTAGTAAACGCAGAGACACGATGTCTTACGAACGGGCGTTTTATGATATTAAAAAAATCCCATAACCAGAAACTTTTTGGAAACCGAACGATGCCCATTCGTCGAGTAAAAATGGGAGGAAAACGTCATTTTCTGCCGATTGAGCAAAAGAATGAATATTTTTGTGCATGTTTTGCATGAAATATATTTGAAGTTTTAAGTACATCGAAAATCAATGAGTAAAATTCATGCTACACACGGAGGCATTTTTCACAGAGCGTGGTTTTTGCATCTTTCCGGAAGGAAGTACGTTCGAAAGCCGGCATCCGCGGGTATCCGGATTTTTATATAATTATGCTTTACGATGATTAATTTTATAATCCTTCTTAGGTAATCTTTTCGAAACGAAAACGCATTTCAGAATTTCGGGCAACTTTTCATGGAATAGTACACCTACTGCATGCTGGTCCATAACATGAAATACACTTAGGCGTGCAGTGTCCCTGTTTAAAAGTGGAATGACTTGTCAGATTTGATCATATAAAGCCACCAAAGGTGTGAGTCTAGGTCCAACGACAGCGACATCATATGGACTAAGAATGTGCGAAATATGAGGCATAGTGATAAGGACGAAGAAGACAGAAATGCCGCTTCAAGCTGATGTGCCTCTCCTTGAAAATCGGAAGCCGCATATAATCTATGAAAATAGGGAGAGTTAAAACCTATCCAGCGCGGATGTTTCGAGTATGACTGTTAGACGACGTGTTTGACGATAAAGATGCTCGGTTTGGTCATCATACCGAAACTGGTCTTTGTCATTTTTGTGCTAATAAATTGACATTCTTCTGTACTGTCCGTGGTCTTGCTAGTAAAAAGAAAAGTTCTCCCTTCAGATTTCGATTAAAACTGGCCACCTTGGGAAGATCCCGGTAGGTGTATATGTTTGTTTTAAATACCCCATTCCTGTGTACCTCATCGCATTCACTTGTTTTCACCCACTCCATTCGCCATAACCGCCCGATTTGATTTCTCTCAGAGGCAAGTAACAGACTACGTATATTGGCTGCATGCGGTCGACTCAGACCTCTATTCTGCCTGTTTCAGGCATTGCTTTTCATTTAATCTTTCCTACACTTTTTGGTACTATTGACAGACGGCGGCTCCAATGAGATACTGAAATGGCTCAATCTGGCGTTGCCCTTGAGGGTGAAGATTTGGCCCCTGTGGGCAGGGCTAGCAGTCCTGCGTATGCTCGGATTTCTTTAAATTTAACCATATGGGAAGATTTCACTACAAAGTTCTTCATATGCTCTGCGTGAAGAATGAGTCAGCACTAGGTATTTCAGTGCATACGCACTTTGTCGGTGTATTTTCATATTTTTATGCACGGATTTTGATATATCGTCTGGTCCTACCAATTGTTCATTTATTTTTTTCTGTGTATTCATGAGGGATTTACGCTTCCGGTGGTTGGGGAGATGGTTTGACAATAGATCAGTCGAAGGAATTTTGGCAATTCTGTATTTAAAGGCCAAGTAAGCTTTGCGGGGATGGGGTTCTCGCGGATTCGCATTTATGCAGTCGCTTGACACCAAAGAAAGTCGTCTTTTTCAGCCGTTTTAGCCTGAATTGGATCGGTGGATCTGACATTTGCTTCCTTCATTGCATTTAAAGGGCATTAGCGACGTCCCTTCGTTAGTACAACCACGTGGAACCGTAGGCCCACGCGAAAATTTGGAAACATTTTTGTGCCAAAACATCTGCACATGCGTAGTTTAAACAACCCACTAGAACTTAGAAATCGGCAGGAATTGTTCAAGTCAATTGTTGCGTGATTTTCACATCAGTTTAGAGTGCACAAATTGGAATTTTGGATTGTTAGACATCGTAATCGCAATATCCTCAGCGAAGGTTCAGAAAACTCAACTAATGATATGCTTGGAAGTCTACATGAAACCAATTATGACATGGATGCTTTGGAAAAATTATGACTTGATTTTTCGAACAGAAAGATTTAAAGAAGGTCGCCCTTTGGGCTTTGCAAACGCATCGAGCACGTTAATACCGCACGTAATACTATTTCAGCGTTCGAGCCTCAGGCATTGCAAACCATACGGCACAAATTAGACGTGGTTCAGTAGTCAACGTAACAACAAAGGGATAATTATGGTGAAAAGGAGCGTCATTTGGGAACACCAAAGTCACTAGAACTGCGGAAGTCATCAGTTATCTACATGCCCTCAACACCTATTCACTGATTACGTACCATGCGCCTTACTGCAATAAAAGGCCAAGTGGTCACCGCTATAATACTCATTTCCTCAGCGCATGAGATAAATGTGTCTGGTTTAAGTGCAGTAAAAATGCATTGTATATGACCTATCATCACAACGATTAATCCGCGACCAGCAGAATTGTCTTACCCGGTGTTAGATCTGCACAGAGTTCGTATGTTCCTTACCGTGCCGCAAATTTAAAGCACGGCTTAGTTACTGCATCTGAAATGAATAAACACAAATTAATTTAATAGTTTATCCAAACGGATGTGGTTTAGAGGAGTCCGAAAATGCTCAATATCCAATGATATAGGTCTTTTTACTGTTCAGAAGACGTGAACCACAGGTAGGAGGCTAGGTGGAAATTGTCAGATGAAAGTTACGAACCGTTCATGTTTCAACACCTAGGTCATGCAACTACCGCTCATTTCAAACCATGGTGGGTGTTTAAAATACGAGACTCTGGAATTAGGCATGGCACTGGCGTAAACTCTTTTGATCGAAATAAAACATTTAGTCAACTTTCGGCAGGACAGGCCCTCACTACTCCCTCGCGCAGACAAGGTCACCAGATATGTTAGCAATCACACCCGCCAACTGGCCGGCTCGGATACTGGTTTGGGCCTGGGAATGGGAAGGACGAGTGAGGTCTATAACTCAGCGCGTTTCCCCCACTATAAACGATCCGAGGCGCTTGAAGCTATCATGGTGTGCTAAAAGCTGTGGTTTGGAAGGTTGCCAACTGACGGGACAACTTGGACCCTGCAGTCGGCCCATTGTTGTACATCTTTGTGGAGTGGCCGACTGGAGGTCTGAGAGTCAGGCTACGATGGCTTCTTCTTAATGCGGCCTTTATGGTACTCCCACTTCGTGGTATCCGAGCCGGGAGTGGGTGGCACGCCTAGGTGTGACTCCGGCTGTACCAACCACTATTTCGTTATCGACCAAAAACCTGGTTATTTGCTGTGTAGACGAGGGGGTGTGGAGTGGAATGCGAAGGTGCGGGCTCGATCGCCCCATCCACCTGCGCCCACTGCCGCCTCCGGTCTTCTTGACTCTGTCTTGACACCAGGTCCAGGTGGGGCAGGAAGAAGAGAGTGTGGTAGATGCTCTGCAAGTCCACGGCGGATTTTACGCAAGTTAACATTCACTATAGGCTAATTCACGCGCAATTCACCCTCCTTGCTTCACCTCGCTGTCGAGCACGTGGTGGACATCGTCGGCAACGACGGTCAAAATATCGTAGGCCTTTGAACAAAATATTTTTTAATCTGATTGCAAAAAATGCAGGGTTTAATCATGTTTGCTAAATTTGCCGTTTGTAAAGCATCAGACAACCGTTCCAACGCACAAATTTATAGCACAAAGCAACTGCGGTGAATTCGGTTAACCAGTTAGGTTCAGCTGGATTCCCAACCTTATCTTTGGCTTTCACTCTCCTAGGGTCTCACCCATCAGACACTCAAGCATAAACACATGCGTTAGGAAGGACATCGACTAGAATACGAAGTCTTAGTGTTCGCTATTTTATTATGCCAGTGACCGATGATCTGAAGAGCCTGATGCTATATAACTATCGCATGACACAATAAATGTCACTAGACAAGTTCCATAAAGCGGCTTTCAAGAAAATGCGACGGCTGGAATTAGACATTGATTGGCTTGGCGTTTTGGGCCCTCGCTCGAACCCATCTTTTGAGACAGCCGCAGATAAGGGCTATAGAGACAAAGGAGCAGTCGCCATGCAACCACATGACCGGCATATTTAAGAGCATTGGCCTTCTCGCCGTTTGTCCCATTTTCTACATTTCCTTTCGTGATTGCTTGTTATTCCGCACTCGATTCGTCAATTGTTGTAATATCCCGTTTTCTGGTTCTTGGCTTAACGATTACTCAGTAATTTCGCCCGCTATCGTTGGGCATTTTGCCGGTACAATTACCTGACAACGGCTGATAGGCCCAAAATGGCCATCACAGTTTCCTTTGACTATGTTCATATCCCTTTCTAAAATAATTTAGCTCAGGATTTGGGGAAGATCCGTAAATGCCACTTACCCCCACCAGTGCCCCATCGACCGGTGTCAGGTAGCCGGTCGTGACGACGAAGCTAACCTCCTAGAATGACTGACAACGTCCTTGTCCAGCTACGCAGGCCTCGACTGCACCCATAATAACGCGCTTATCCTCCAGGGCGTCTCCTGCTACTACAGTAGGTGGGCTAACTCATGAGATTTCGACCGAAATTTCGAAATTCGTTTTCGTTTCGAAAAGATTAATTAAAGTTGTAAAACTAATCGTCATGTAGCATAATTCTATAATAATTCAGTTACCTCGGGATGCCGGCTTTCGAATGAACTTCTTTTCGGTTGCATACAAAGACGACTCTCTGTAAAAAATGATTACTTCTGTAGCATGAAACTTTATCATTGATTTTCGATGCCTCCAAAATCTCCATTATATTTCATGTAAGGCATGCGTAAAAATATTCGTTCTTCTGTTCATTCGTTATAAAATTACATCTTTTTCTAATTTTTAACTCGAAGGAGAGACATAATTCGGTTTTTAAAAATTTTTCTTATTCTCAAAGGATTTTGAACCCGACCTGCCGTTACACTTGCATTCATGGTTTCCAAACTAAAGGTCGTATATTTTCCGCATAGGGAAAACCACATATACCTCTACGGTATAAGGAAAAGACCATATGCGGTTCATAAAATTTAGCAGCGAATTTGATCCATATTGTTAATTTTACAAGCCACATTGGCAAATGCAGAGCCATGACGATGTATAAACGGCCATTTCACGGTATTTAAAAGTCTCACAATTAGAAACTTCTTTTAAAACCGATGTATGTCCCTCCTTGGAGTATAAAATTAGAAGAAAACGTAGTTATCCGCCGAATCAGCAAAAAATGAATATTCTTATGCATGTTTTTCATGAACTATAATCGGACTTTTGGGGCATCGACAATCAATTAGAAAAATTCGTGCTACAATAGCAGTCATTTTTACAGAGTGTTGTTTTTGCCTCATGCCGGAAGGAAATCCGTTCGAAAGCCGACATTCTGACGTACCTGAAATATTACAGAATTATGTTGCAGGCTGACTAGTTTTACAACCCTACTTAATTAATCTTTTCGAACCAAAGACCTATTTTCAAATTTTGGCTGACATTTCATGAGTTAGCCCACCTACTATAGGCGCACGACTAAATTCATCCGGTTGTTCCACCGCCACAACCGACAAGGCTCGCAACAGTCTCGAGATTGGCGCAGTAGTGACATGACTGTAACTCACTTTCTCACAGAGAGGACTTGCTTTGCAATCAGCTCACTCACAGCCATCAACACACGGCCTATGCTGATATTAGTGAAAATGCGATTCCCAGGTGGTAAATCAAAATAAAATGAGGCATTCAGCGGGAGAGGTGTATTGGAGGTCCGACGTTCCGAGTAGTTGTTTCGTCTACCCCTCTTCAGAGACTGGGAAGTCATGCGCACAGCTCCCCTCATACGGCGTACTTTGTTTGATGCGAGGCCCGGCAAAGGCGCCTGTGTGGCTGCATCCGACCCGAATGCCATCGTGACCTGAATCGCCCCTGTCGGCCGCGGAGATGACTGACGGCCCGATTGTCCCGCGCCGTGACTGTCCCCGGTCAAGAAGTTTCGCAAAGTCAGATAGGAGGGAGGCAAATTTATGTGGCGGCTGACAGAGCAGTCGGTGGACATCCAGGCTTCTTGCACTTGCCTTGCTGTATGATCATCGCCCCGGCCCCCAATCTCAACGGCCTCAAAGTTGAAGGTGTGTCCGATCTGCGCGGCATGGATTGCTACCTCCGACTTTGGGTCCAACCTTCGCAGGGTCAACTTATGTTCATGCATTCGCGTTTGCATCCGTCGGCC